ATTAATTTTTTCAATTTTAATTAAATAATATTTATATATTCTTTATTTAATTTTCATAACTTTCTTTTGTTTAATTTAATTTAACTTTTATTATTTATTTTTCGAAAATTATTTTAAAATTTCTTTTATCTTGACATTATAAATAAATTTTTTTTTCGATTTAAAATTTCTTTCATAATAAAACATAATTTTTTTCAATTTTAACTAAATAATATTTTTTAAATTTTAATTATTTCAATTTAACAAAAACTTTATAATTACATTTCTTTTATTTTTTCATTTCATTTTTATCCCTTTTTACATACATTTACAGTACAAAACGATATCGTTTTCCTATGTTGAATTGTAAAACAAGGTCATTTTAGTCCATTAATATAATAAAGAATTGAATATATCTTATGTATAATTCTAGAAAAATATTAATTATTTAATTAACAATGACTAAATATTGATCAATGTATGTAATATTCATTCATTACCTTATTATTTGAGATGAAATTTTTCCCAAAAAATTGAAAAAATAAAGGTAATAACTAAAATCAAGAGTCATGATCTTAACGATTATCCTTCTCGCATCTAGATGGTATTTTATCTTGTAAAAAATCAAATGTTAGAACATTGAACAAGAGATAATGAAATAAAATATAATTTAAAAAAATTAAGCAAATCGAATTGTAACTATCATTTTACACCAATACGAATAAAAAAGCTAAATAATTTAACAAAACAAAGAACAAGAAAAATTACAAGCGAAAATGAAAATAAAATAAAATAAAGCTATTATAAAGATTTTTACTTAGATCGAAATAATTAAAATTAAANAAAAATTACAAGCGAAAATGAAAATAAAATAAAATAAAGCTATTATAAAGATTTTTACTTAGATCGAAATAATTAAAATTAAATATTATTTAATTCGAAAAAATTATGTTTTATCATAAAACGAAAAAAATTAAGAAAAATTTTAAATAGAAGAAAAAAATATTTATTGTATGAAAGAAAAATAAATTTTGAAACAATTTTTACAAAAATATAATAAAAACATAACAAATTAAACAAAATGAAGTTACGAAAATTAAATAAATATTATTTAATTAAAATTAAAAAATTAAGGTTTATCGTAAAGAGAAAATAATTAAAAAGAATGTTAAATCGAAAAAAATTATCTATAATATGAACAAAAAAATTTTTAAAAAAATAAATGAGGAAAAAAAGTTTTATTGTAAAGAGAAAATAATTAAAATAAATCTAAATTGAAAAAAAAATATTTATAACATGAACAAAACAAATTAAAAAGAAAAAAAATAAATAAGGAAAAAAAATTCCCCCTCCAGAGACTCCGCGAATGGAGAGGACCAGAAATTCCTCTCCATCCCCATCCATGGAGAGATCTCTTTATCCGCTGCAAGATCTCTATGTTGAGGGAGACACGGAGGTAAATTGTTTTTTTTCCTCATTCACTTTTTTATTTTTTATTTTCTTTTTCATATTATAAATAATTTTTTTCGATTTAAAATTCTTTTTAATTATTTTCTCTTGATGAAAAACTTAATTTTTTCAATTTTAATTAAATAATATTTATATATTCTTTATTTAACTTTCATAACATTCTTTTGTTTAATTTGTTTAATTTTTATTTTTTTAAAATTGTTTAAAACTTTTTTCTTCATATTATAAATATTTTTTTCAAGTTAAATTTTTAATTAAATAAAATTTATTTTTAATTTTAATTATTTCAATTTAATTAAAAAACTTTATAATTACTTTTTTTTTGCCTGTAATTTTTTTTTGTTCTTTAATAATTTATTAAATCATTTAGTTTCTTTTCTTTATTATTAGTATTGGATTGGATGAGGTAAAATAGTGCGTGAAAATGGAGAAATATTGCGGTGGAGGTGATAGTTGCAATGAAGTGACGTGTGAAAATAGAGAAATGATTGAAGGCAACACGGCTTCGTTTTTTCCGATAATTAAAAAAATTGATACAGTGTGATAAAATGGAATAATTCATTGTTGCTAACTACGAGACCTTCACATTCTCCTTTTTATATAGTAGGGAAAAGATTGGGATTGCGGATTTGGTGCGCCTATCTTTATGTTAAATCAAATAGACGGAGTAAATACCGAATCTCATTCCTTATAAAGTGGATCCCCACTTGATTGTGACTCGATTTACCAATCGAAGTCATCTACCTTGAACTTCCTACTTGACTTGTTCTTGAAGCAAAATACGATCACAAACTTTTCCATGCACTTTAGTAAACTAAAAATTCAATAGCGTGACGTATTCTAACTTGCCTTTAGTTGAAAATTCTCATATTTCATTATTGAATCTTCTTTTTTCTCACGAATAGAATTTTAATCCTATTTTCCAAATAATCAAGAGAGCCAATTGTAATGAAAATAAATGGATGCACTATAATTAGATTAGAGTTAAATATACCTTTGATCCCTTAAGTTGTAGCAAATTCTCAAATTGGTCCTGAAATTTATTTTGCTCCAAATTAGTCACAAAGTTTCTTGACGGTTCTAACTTGGTCATTTTGCTAGTGAGATTAGTGTCGAACCTAACTGTACATTATTATGCCACCACATACTAACTAGATAATAACCCCATTTGTAGCGATAAAAAAAATTCTTGTTTTTCGTTTTAGAATAAATTTTCTTGTAGAACTCGAAAATGATTAGGGTTATATTACTGCGTCGCTACGACACTTCCCAAGAGTCCAAATTAAAGCATTAGTCACGAAAGTAATGTTGCATGCACTTGTCTTAGAATTAGTGTAAGGTGTTGAATTCTCATTTAAACAGCAAATTTTTTCTTTTGATTACTTTGTTTGTGACTACACAATCTATATTAATTGTTGCATATATTAAATCCTTAAAATTAAATTATCGTGAGAAAATGGAAGCACTATTCGATGGTTCGAATAAGATAAGAAGATGATGATTTTTGTTACTCGAAAGGGGTTGTCAAAATCCGAGAATTAGTGGACTGCCCATTCACTGATTCGTTTTGTAAATTGACTATGATACAAATAACCAAAGTTTGTATTTTTGAAATATGTATTCTTTACCTCATTTTATTTAAGTATTTCCTGTCGAGTATTACTTGTGGCACTCATCTCCTACTAAAATGTTATAGATTAACTCGAGGCATGGAAGTGGCTTCGCACAGTGGCAAGTGCTAAAGGATATGGAGTGCTTTTAAACTTTCTAGCAAAATTATGTAAATTTTTATGAACACTTGGACGATACATTTAAAAATGTTTAAATGTCCATTTCGTCCAATTTTCATACAATTCACATAAACTTTTATTTAGAAATGTCAGGAAATAGTGCGTGAAGTCTAATAGTTGTTGAATCTAAAATTTTTGTTTCTGTCCCCTATTTTAAAATGATATAACTTGGTTTTCGATACATGTTTTAGAGTGAAATCAGTGGAGTTTAAAGGATTTTTGAGTCTTCTAATAGCAGTCTTTGAAATCACCTTAAAATTTTTATCAATAAGTAATGCTCAGAAATACAATCTAGCATGGTTAAAAAATGTTTTCATGCTTCCAACATCATCTTAGAGATCCCAATTTTTTATATGTTTTACGCATACAAATTTTATATTCTTTGTTAAAATTTTCATAAATTTTAATCGACGTTTGCTAGGTCAAATATATTTTTTTTCTCGTTGCCACACAACCACTGAAAGCTTTTACTTGCTTGTTGAATTTTCTCAAAATATTTTCCAAAATCAATTTGCACCATAATTGTCTAAGTCTATATAAAACCAAAATGTTAATATCTTCCATTATTACGATAAAAAAAAAAGATCTCCCATTATTTATTAAATATTTCAAACTATAAATTTTGTTTATTTACAATTTATTTTGGTAACGTTATAGAACTTAGATTTTTTTTTATTTTTTTTATTATTATTATTATTTTTTTGAGTAATGCATGGAGTTCTAGTAATCTGGGGCATTACACCATTATTGTGCAAGTATTAATTGTGTAAAAAATGGGATGATGAAAGCCCGAATCCACTTTATTCCACTTCGAATGTGAAAGTCAAAGTTAAATAAACGTGTTAAATTAATTGAAAGCAAAATGGATTTAATTGCTTCGTTAATACATCTTTAAGAACGATTTAGGCTTGTACGAAAATGGAGTAATGTTTCGTTGCTATATGTAGCGTTAAACAACATATGCGTGAGAAATGTCATTAATCTCATTATCAAAGGGATCAAATCAAAACTACAGAAAATTTTAGTTAGTAATCTGGAACAAAATAAATTTTTTAAGATCTAACCTAGAATCTCGATGCTATCTTAACAAACAAATATCTATTAATCAATGAGATTCTAGTTATTTAAAAGGATAAAGATGTATGTACATACAAGGGGGTTACCAAATGGTTTACACCCCCCTCACAAACATGCGTGTCCCACCTGTTATTAAATAATTCGAGATGTGGTCCCCACTTTATGTTGTGAGTAGTGTGTAAAAGATTGTGTACATGTAGCATGATCCTATTTAAAAATGGCTTGTGAAATGAATAATTCTTCATATTTTAACTTTTAAGAAAAGATGATTAAGCCCCTGTTTGTTTCTCATTTTTTTTTTATTTAAAATGAAAAATATGACCGTTATCCATCATATCAAGTACCAAATTTGAATTTCTATCTCTTGTATCGGGCTCATAACGACTATATTTTTCATTCTCATTTTTACATTAACGTGTATCAAACGGAGCCTAAATGAAAGTACATAAATCAAGAATTGGTGCACCAATTAGAAGAAAAATACCCCTTAAACAAAAAGTCCTGCAGAAATTTTTTTATTCAACATTTAATTTTCAACAAATTTCAAAAGTCTTCCACCTGTCCCCTCTATGCAAAAAAGACAAACAGAATAAAAAAAGAAGATAGAATAAAAAATATGTAAATAAGTAAAAGCAGAAGAAAAAAAGTGAAGGAATGGAAGAAATGAGGGATGAAAATTCGCAACCCAGTTTAATGGAGGTGGACAATTCACATGACTTCTAACGTACAGAGCACCCCACTACACCCCACTCCACCTCTTCCCACGCTTCCCTTCTCGAGGGTAATTACTACTAATTAACTCAAACTCGATTAAGAAAAAAATAAAATAAAAAATTGACCGCTTTTCGCCACCAATCTCTTCTCTACAGTGTCTCCGCTCCTGCTCCCACTTCCACTGCCACTCCCACTTCCCCAAGCAGGAATTTTCTTTGGTAAGTTGCGAATCTATACACACAATCTGTATGTATTTTTTATACTTTTTTGCTTGTTTTAATCTGAAGTTACGTATATGTAAACACAAACGTTGATACAGTTGTGGATATTGATATATGTGCCGCAGAAACCTAAGAAGTGGATTTACCTTTTTTTACCCCTGAAACATTATTCTAGTATGGAAGTGTGTTCGCTGGATCTTATATTTGTTATAAGTTATATATTTTGAGTGTTGGGGTGTTCTCTTTTACCAAATCTCAGATTTGCAGCATGTGATTAAGCGCGAAGTCTAATTGATGAGTTGCTTGTTTTATTTTACAGGAGGAAAGGAAAATCGAGGAACTGATAATCTAGGGTATGACTAGTTAGTGATTCTTTTTTATTTTCTGGTAAAGGATTGAATGCATTTTTAGTTCCAAAACGTGAATATTAGGGTTTTAGACTGTTGGAATTTTTGTGGACAATTTGGGAATGTTGGGAAAGGAGGATTCTACTGGTGGTGGTGTTGATGATAGTGAAAGTTCTCAAGGGCTGTGCCAAGTTTCTGGTGGCAGGAAACTTTATTGGCGGTCCGCGTCATGGTCATCCTCGCGGACTTCACTGCCCCCACTTAACCCTGACACTGATAATAAAGATGGCTTAAATCTTAACGGCAACAATAGCGGTAATAGTGGGATGGGTCAGCGCATTCCTCCTCCATTAACCCCTAGAACCCAACACAGTTTTAAGGCCAGGTCGTGTCTGCCCCCTTTGGCAATTGCTCGTAGAAGCTTAGATGAGTGGCCTAAAGCAGGGTCTGATGATATTGGTGAGTGGCCGCTTATTACTACACCTCATGGGAGGAGCTCGAATGATGGTGGGGAGAGGTTGAAGCTCGATTTGTCGAAAATAGAGAGAAACCAGGATAACAATGACTGTGGGCTTGTGAAGAGAGAAAAGATTGCTTTCTTTGACAAGGAGTGTTCGAAGGTTGCTGAACACATTTATCTTGGCGGTGATACAGTTGCAAGGGACAGGGAGATACTTAAGCAGCATGGTATTACTCATATTCTAAATTGTGTGGGATTTGTATGCCCAGAGTATTTCAAGGCTGATTTTGTTTATAAGACATTATGGTTGCAGGATAGCCCGTCGGAGGATATAACTAGCATACTATATGATGTTTTTGACTATTTTGAATATGTTAGAGAACAGGGGGGGAGGGTTTTTGTTCATTGTTGTCAGGGAGTCTCTCGGTCTACATCATTGGTGATTGCTTATCTAATGTGGCGAGAAGGGCAAAGCTTTGATGACGCATTTCAATATGTGAAGGCTGCTAGGGGAATTGCTGATCCGAATATGGGGTTTGCATGCCAGTTATTGCAGTGCCAAAAAAGAGTTCATGCTTTCCCTTTGAGTCCCAGTTCTTTACTAAGGATGTATAGGATGGCTCCACACTCACCTTACGATCCGTTGCATCTGGTTCCTAAAATGCTTAACGATCCTTCCCCATCTGCTTTGGATTCTAGAGGTGCATTTATTATACATATTCCTTCTACAATTTATGTTTGGGTTGGCAAAAATTGTGAAGCAATCATGGAAAGGGATGCCCGAGGAGCTGTTTGCCAAAT